GATCTGAATATCAACTTCATTATAAGCTTATAACGAATTTTTTAAAGAATTTAATTGGCTAGTTTACTATAGTAAAGATAATTTTAATATATTTGATTTAAAAATTCGCTATATTAAGGGTTCGCTATATCAAGGTTTGACTGTATTCCTATAACACTATTCAACTATAATACTAATATATGATTCATTATTATGTGATGATTACAAATTAGTAGTAATACAAAACAGATTAAGTAATTTATAATTTACTAATAAGTTATTCAATTGATCAATTAAATGTATCATTAATGATATATTATACTTTTTTATTATCTGAATATTGAAACTATAACCTACAATATTTATAAAAGCTTTGAATAATTAGGATTGCAAAATGTAAAATAATTAGCAATCATTAATTATCTAAGTCATTATAGAACATTTTATTTCTGATTATTTCTAAAACTGACTTTTCATTAAACAACTTTTATAGATTTTTCAATATTTTTAGTTTTCACTTAAATTATAGAATTTAAAATAATTTAAAGCTAAGATTATAAAATTAAATAACAAAATAAAAAATAATAATATATAATCTGTAAGATTGTTTTTATAATTTTCTATTTAATATTTAATAACTAATCATATTATTTATAAAATTGTAAAATTTATATATTACTTTTTTCCTTTCTTCTGATATATTTGACATTCAGTATAGATTTTATTATCTAAAACTTTAAAATAATTCTATATATAATTTTTATTATTTAAATTTTCAAAATTTTAGGATTAGATTAGCATTTTTATTTATTACTATTTGAATTATTGATATTATCTACAACATTTTTTATTGTTAAAAAACAATAACTTTAAAAAAAATTATAAGTTTTTATTATAAATTATGAAAAATAATCAATTTTTTATAAATATATGATCACAGCTTATTCTATAAAATTAATATTTAGTATTTATAATTATTAAGACAGATTATAATATCTAATATATTGATAAAACTAATATTATTACTTAACATATCAGATAATATCTATATGAAATTGATCTAAATTGAGTTAAAACTTTATTTAAATAGATCTATATAGGAGGTAGTCAGTAGAAAAGGGGAAAATTCAAAATTTTTATTAATTTTTATTATTAAGCTAAATTTGTAAACATGATCGAGATCAGCCAAGTAGACTAATAATATAAATTTTGATCAAAATTTGAATTTCCCCTTTTCTACTAACTATCTTTCATATTATAACCTTACTTATAAAATTAAGGTTTATATTAAATTTTAAATTTTAAATTTAAGTTATTTTATTTATTATAAAATATTTATTTATTTTATTGTAATTTAATATATAAAGAAATTTATTAATTGATATTTTTTTTAAATATTTATAATTTATCTTATTTAATAATAACAATTTTAACAAAACAAATATTTATTTGAATATGATAATCATATTCTTATATTGTCAAATAATTATTTATATAATTTATATATTTTATTTAAATATTTATTACAAATATTAGTTAAATATTAAATATAAACTGAAGCTCTAATTACATAAAATACTTATTATATATTTTAAAAATTCTATTTAATTTAATATTTATTCAATTATGACTCATTAAATTAATAATATATACACTTTTGATAATAAATATGAAATTATAATAGATTTAAGTTTTAATATTACTGAATTTATTTACTAAAATAATAATAATATATTATCAATATTATTACCAAATTTATAATCAATATAATTATCATTTTAGAGATTTTTTTTAAAATAACAAAATTATTTAAAAGGTTTCAAAATAATATATTATCATAATATCTTTAAATTGTATATTATAAAAAACTTATGTATTTTGAAAAAGCTTTTTATATTAAATTTAACTCTTTAATTATTAATCTATTACAACAAAATATACCTAATATATCTTTATGTTTTAATCTTAATATTAATATATTACTTAACTGATTCTTACATGTAGATTCTATAAAAATTCTTCAATCAGATTTTCATTTTCTTATCTTTTAAAAAAAGTGATTTTTACTTTATCATAAATATTAAATTTAAAAGAAAATTGAAAATATTTATAAAATACTTGTAAGTTTTTTTGTTTAAAAATACAAAGAATTTTATTTTTAAAAATAAATTTTTATTTAAATATTTACTAATGTCTTATACTAACTTTGTCTTTTTTTTATTATCTTTTACACTCAACATTTACTTATAAAGCATATTTCTAATCTTTAAAATAAGATTATTTCTTTTATTTTAATAAAGTTCTTGAATAAAAATATAATTTTAAGATTAAATTTGTTAATATAGTTTATATAACTTCCCATTTATTTGAAAGGTTATAATATTTTAATGAAAAGTAATCAATTTTACAGAAAAATTCTTCTAATTTATTGTTAGTAAAATAGCATGAAAAAATTAAATTGAAACGTTTGTCTTAACCCAGAGAATTTTAAAAAAAATTTTTGTGTATCTTTATTGGTAAAAAATTAGGGTTGCATATGATGAAAAATAGTTTTAACTAATTGATCATGATTTTACTAATTTACCCCATTTTTTTAATTGGCTGGTATAATTAATATTAGTTAGGGTTAGTTAGGTTAGGGTTAGGGTTAGGGTTAGAGTTAGGGTTAGGGTTAGATCCGAGAGACATGATTTTTTTGAGAGATACAAAAAGGTGTGGAGTCCCGTGAAGATGATGTGTGGTGTACATCATCTCATGTGACATTTACTCAAGTGATAAATAAGATTAGCCGGCCAAAATTATAATAATGTGGGCTGGAGGTGGTATATGTAACTTGAGTACGTTTCACAAAATGTCACGTGATCACAATAAACATCACTGTACACCTCCACACCTTTTCGTATTACCTTTTTTGGGTGGTTATCCCCTGGATACGTGACAATTAACATATTTTATTATACCAGCCAATCAGAAAAATGGGGATCATAGTAAAAAAAGTGATCGACAAGCTGCATATTTAATTAGTAAATTCATTTGATTCCGGAAATGTCCAATGACTGTTATTGGTACTATGAATTATTCTTGTAATTTCAGAGCACATGTTTTGTATTCAGGACTTTTAGGATGCATTGTTTGTAAAGTCCCTCGCGTCGTTCCCATAACGTTTTAGTTTCAACCTCTCTTGCATAGGAAAGAAACAGATGCGCTATGTCTTGCCTGCTGGGATCTTGGAATTCTTGATCTTCTTGGACATTAGTTTTCGTCTACGATTGGTGACAGAACACATTCCGTTTGCAACAAATACCGTGACGATTGAGAGCAAACCTTCCGCAAGTTCTTCAGCTTCACTACTCTCAGCACTGAATCCGTACCGAGTATCACGAGGATCCCATTTTTCTCAAAGACCCATTCGACAAGCTCGGATTCTTAAAAAAAATTTAGTAAAGTAATAAAGGCAATAAAAATCAAGGCAAATAAAAAAATAAACTTTCGAGTAACCCCAGGGCATGATTTCGTATTTTGGTTAGTGGCTGTCGGAGATTCGATCAAGGTCGTTGATGCTCCGAACTGATTCTATTGCGTGGACCGTGTTTGTTTGTTGTCTATAAAGATTCCTTGATTGTCTGTAATAGAATCAAGTCGTTTTCTGACGATAGTTTTGCAATTTTCAGCTAAGACATTTGAAAAATAGATAACCACATTAAAAATTATTTTTGATTTACATAAGAGATCACATGACAAGTGATGATATGATATTTTATTTTTTAAAAAAAATCCTAAACAGTTATCGAGCGATAGGTTGAATAAGTTGCTTAGCGAAAGAATTTAAGAATGTGAACCCAAAATTATAGTAATTAAAATTACATTCAAAGAACTTTTTTTTTCTTTTAAAAAAAAAATTGACTTAAACTAATGAAAGATATATTATATCTTACTATTTAATTTTGAAATTGCTCTAATATATTTTTATGCTATTAAAAAAAAAATTCTCATGCTACCCAAAAAAGTAGATCATAGTAAATTTATTAAAAAAAAAAAAAAATATTTGATTAAAAAATTCGGATAAAGGTATATATTATAGTTCATTTAGTTCCATCACCATTTAAAAGTTGCTTTTGATCTCGATTGATTTGATATTGTCTCTTCCGTTTTGCCTTTTCATATTCCGGGATTTTTCGCCACCAGTCCGATACAAGTTTGCTGTATTCTGTCATTGTCATATTCAGCGGTTTCTTCTTCATCATTTCATTCCGATATGTTATAAAAATGTTTGGTTCCCTCTTCTTTCGTATTTTATTTTGATTTTCTGATGTTTCTGGTGTAGGAAATGGGATTATTATTAAATTATCGTTCATCCTTCAAAGTAATTATGAAATGGAATATGATTTGTATAAGGGTAAATGAGATCGTTAAAAAAAATCTGCGAGAAAAATGAAATATGCCTCATTTATTTATAAAATTTTTTTTTATTAACGGAATTTATTGTCCGTAGCCCTTTGATAAAGAAGTCATTAATCCATTTAGTTAAATCAATAAAGTTCGAAACTTACATTATTTGGAACCTTTTTAAGAAATAAATAAAGCAAAAAAAGGTTTATTGTCACAATTTCTTTCAAAATTTTCCTTTTATTGACTACAAAAAGTTTTAGATAAATACGCGTAATCAATTGTCTTATTATGTCTAGACATACTATTCCTAACGGCTATTGTTTCCTCATCATATTGGTAAATTTTTAATCTAATAAAATCGTTAAATCAGGATTCTTGTGAATGAATTCATATATTTGGGATAAATATAGAACATTAAAGAATAAATTCTTTTATTCTTGTCGGGTCAATGATGTATTTATTACTTTAAAACCGATTTTTTTTTTATTTGGGTTATACGGCATTGTTCAATAAAAAGAAGCATACGATGAAATGTGGGTTTCCCAATCGTGAGAACTTTTTTTTTATTTGTTGTATATTATTACTGTATGTATATTTTTAAATTAAAAAAATTATAAAAGTGAATATATTCATACATATTAATCATTTAACTAATCGATACATTTGTATATGTATACTACAGGATATAAATTAATAATATTTTAAAAGAATTGGTTCATTTTAAAGTATTGTTAATGAATAATTTTATTTTTAAAAAAAAACTAAATTTATTACGAAAACTTTCATTTTGAATACTTTTAAGCATTATATAAAATATAAGTACCCTTTCTTAAGAATATTCAACATTATCTTAGTAATTTTCTTTGAATATAATAAAATAAAATTAATGAACCAATGTAATTTCTATAATTTCTAATATATTAAATATTTATAAAAGATTACGATAACAATACTATTAGCTAACTCATGATCTATTAGAGCCGGGTAAGTGACGTTTAGAAAATCGGTGACAAAAGTCTCAATGTTATATTTTTTAGAAAGGTTAAATTATTTTCATGCATTTTTACTCAATGATTTATTAAAGTTCTACCCAAACATTTCCTCCTCGGGTGGATTTTGAATGCCACATCATTGCTTTGTTTATGTCTTGATTTACACCTTTACCATAATAATAACATTCCGCAACGTGAAGATACGCCTCAGCGTATCCTCCTTCAGCAGATGTTAAGTACCATTTGAATGCCGTCTGTTCATTTCTATCTACTCCTATTCCGTTTTGGTAACAATTTCCCAAAGAACATTGCGCACCATGGATTCCTTGCTTTGCAGCAAGAAGATACCATTTAAATGCCTTCTTTAAATCTTTAATAAAATGAAAGTGTAATCCCATTCTATATTGTGCATTTGCATTTCCACTGTTTGCAGATTTAAAATACCATTCCATCGCTTTTTCTTTGTTTTTAGGAGATTTCGTATTGGATTCGTAATATTCGTAATATTGTCCTAACATCCATTGAGCATCTACATTTCCATTTTCCGCAGAAAGCCTGTACCATAGAAAAGCTATTTTTTGATCTTTGTCCGTTCCTATGCCCAATCGAAAACAGTGGGCTAAGAGATATTGTGCATTGGCATTTGCCCTCATAGCATAAGTGCACAACCATCTAAATATGCCTTTTTCATCTACGTCGGTTCTAACAGGATGATAATTTTCTTGTGCAGCTGACATTTTTTTCTTTTTATTTTAAGAGAATAAAGGAGTTTAAAGTGTATTATGAAGAAGGATTATTTGTAAGGTTTTGGTCAATGGATTTTTTTCGCGTCTTTATAAGAGTTTATTTCGTATGTAAATTGAAAAATGAAATATCTAAATTTATCACCAATTTGATGTGATGAATTACATAATAAAATTTTCGATCGACTGATTTGTAAATGATCCCAAAATAGGTAAAATTGAACAAAAGAAATAGATCGCAGTAAATCAGAAAACAATACGTCAATAAAGTATAGTTTTTAGTAATTAAATATAAATTCATGGGATAACAATGTAGAAAAAAAAAAAAAAAAGGGTTGAGTTGTGCATTGATAAAAAAAAAATTGATTAAATATGGTTAAACATGAGAAAAATAGATTGTTATGATTGAAATCAATTGTGGTCATTGAATAAGAACCTTTTTATTATATTGAAAAAAATGGTCGTGTAACTATATAATTAGTAATAATTAGTGTAACAAAATTTCCTTACGTAGGTCGTGACTTTGATGAGAACAAAGTTCCATAGAACTTTATATTAAATGAGTTTCATTAATTTGGATAAATATAAAACTTTAAAGGATGAAGATTCTTTATTCTCATCATTTGATAATGCAATCGATGATGATTTTATTGTGAAAATTTTTTCAAATTTGATTCTTTTATTTGGGTACAAGATTTCACTGATTAGCGGTTAATGGCATTATCATTCCGATCATGCTTCTATGCTTATTCTATTTTATTTGTTTGGGTTATTATACGGTACATACATTATCTTCTTAGAAGATGAAATTTATTAAAGAAATTCTTAAACTAATTAATTTACTTGATAATCAAACAACGAATATTTTGTTTTCCAGAGATTAATGTTTATCTTATGTATCGATGTGATATTTAAGCCTGCTGCATATTTTTAGTGCATGTAATATTAATGGATTAGTCATTCGTTGTGTTAAAATAAACATGAAAATGATTTTAATATCAAAAATTAATATCAATTAATTTTCATCCTTTGAATTGTTATGGATTCGTTCTAATCTTGCAGAACATCCGAATTTAGAATGGACAATAAAATTATC